GATTATCGCGCCATTTCCACCGGAATTCGATTTCGAGCTCTGTTTCGCGATATTAATTAGGAGATGATCCGTTGAATGGTTGTAAGAGAGGAAATTCTTTTTTTTCCTCAATTGAATAAAATATGATGTTTGATATGAATGAATCTGGCGAATAAACTTTTCTGAGGAATAATTTTCTCTTTTATTTCTTTTCATTTGTATCGAATTTTCAAATGCAAATTCGAAGAAAATTAATTTCTTCACTATTCTGATTTTTCTTTTATTCTATAGAGAATTGTAGTTGGTGTTGAAAATATGAAAAAGAATGATTGAAATGTTATGTCAAGAACGTGCATGTTAGTAATCTCTTGATTAAAAGTGAAGTTTGATTCACTTTGTGATATCTAATTCCTGTCTGAACTGAATGTTAAGAATCTTTCAATGGAGAAAATTAACAAAATGGATTAGATAATTGAATATATGAATGATGTAGAAAATATTTTGTGCTTTACTTTGTAACGTTTGGTACCATCCGTCCAAAAAGTTAGGTCTGAGCAACGTATTCCAGTTCCAGTTCGAGCTCTCGTCGCTGTCCTCGAAGCTCAAACTCGGGAAGTCGAAAGTCGCAGCCATCATTTGATCCCTTTCATGGGATGGTAGAATGAGAACAGTGTCCACATTCTTCCTTTCCTCCTTACTATCCTCATCGCGTGCACCTTTGTGAAAAAATAATAAATGTGAAATTAGAATTCTCATTTCGATGATTTACACGCAATTGCATTGAAGAAATCTATATAAATCTATATATGTATCTTCTAGTCGCTTATTTATAAACTGGTGAAAGGTTGGATCGTTATAGAAAGTTTTAATGCGAAAAATATGTATTCATCATGTGCAATGTTTATAAAGTTAAATTGACAGTGATGTAAGCAACTTTGCATACACATGTGTGTGTACACGAGAATAAAAAAAAAAAAAGTGGATTAGAAAGGAAATTTTCACGTTTTAAAATCTCATAAATAAAATTAAATTTACTTAATCTAACTTAAATTGATCGAAGAAATATTGATATTTCTTTTATACTCTCTTTTCCTCTCTCTTTTTTTCTATAAAAAAAAAAAAAAAAAGAAAAATCTCATTATGATAAAAAGATATTCATTCACGAGAGAATCTTAGGTTTAACCTTCGAATCTCGGAGAATCGCCTTCTCCAGGAAAGAATTTGCTTGATCCAGCTTATATTCCTCCTCGAAACCGTACAATCTCCGTTTAACCTATTTTTGTAGAGATAATATCTATAAATCAATTTGGTATTTTTAAGCGTATCATATATATGAAAATAATTTAAAGAAATTAAAAATTATAAATATTCGACAGTTTCCAAGACGTAGAAATATTTCAAGAATTATCCAAAAGAAGGAAATCTGGGAAGTCTCTTTAATCTCGTTTTAAACGTAGGATAAATCCATCTTATGATTTTAATCCTCTCATTTGTCTAAGAAAAAAAAAAAAAAAAAAAAAGAAAAAAAGAAATAAAGCAGTTATTAAATATCCAATCTTTACATAGATAAACGAGTTATATTCAAAATATAAATCGATTTGAATTGAAATTAATTAATTTATTTCTCTATAAGTTAAATAGTAATAACACGTATTAATAAAATCGAGAAATTTGTGAATCGATCAATTTTATATGTTAATTTAAATATTTTAAGAAAGAATTTTTTAAAAAATTTTTCTCTTAAAAATACTAGTAAATATTTTACTAGTTAGTTTCAAATATAAAATTTGTTAAAAAAAAAAATGATTTACTATATTATAATTTAATAAATAAAATAAAAAAATAATAAACCAACCAGTTACAGACTGTAAACTTTCAAACGTTGAACAGTTATGTATTACGTGAAAGGGGCTTAAAAATGAAAAGCAACGGAATGCAACCGTATAATTATTCTTACTCCCGGCGTTCTGACCCACGATCCTTTCAAACGCCTCGCGGCACTTAGTGCTTTATAAGGAATTTGCCCAAGTGATTTATCGTCGAGCCCTTTTAGTGCCACGCTACTGAATTTGCTACCGACCTCCACTGTCAGACAGGAAATGCAGGATTCTGTACTTCTGTGCGGGTAGGTTGACACGATGGACAGACTCGATCGGTAATCGATAAGTGGAACACGTCGGTAAGGATTAAAAAAAAAAAAAAAAAAAAGAAAGAAATAGAAGGAGGGAAAGAAAGAAAAGAGAGAGAGAAGAAAAAAAGTAGGTATTGACCATTTGCAGCGACGTCTCATTTGCAACGTGTCAAAGTGTTGCGTGTAACTAAAGTCTCAGAGCTATCGTTTCGGAATGATCGATCGTATCTTCTTTCTAGCAGCCCCACCTCTCGTTTGTATATCAAACGGTCCACCACACGTTGTGCTTCTTGCTCTCAAAGAATCTCAACTTTTCTTTTCTTTCTTTTTTTTTCTTCATAAAACACGATGCAGCCTTTATACGAAACGAAATGTAAAGCAACGATGTTTTTCTGAACGAGGCGAAAGTGAGGTTAGGATCGATCGTGATAGTTGAAAGTAACACGAACACGTCTAAGTTACGATATTTATTTTTAAAATATAATAATTTGTTTTCTCTGTATCATAAATATTTGAAGTTAATCTAATTTTAATTTAATAGATGGATGAAAACGGAAGTATATACCAAAACAGTGCGCAAGATTTTGAAAGACAGGATGCTTGTCAGAAATAAAAGTAACCTGAGATGCATTAAGGATGTTTTTGAGATCATCTTTGTTTTGAGTATATTGTATATCTTATATACGTTGCAATGCTTTCGAAATAAGCAATTACGCGAATTAATTATTTCAAATTTTAGATATGAGATAACACAATTTTGAGATTATATAAAATTATATAAAATTGTTTTAAACAAATTTATATATATATATATATATATAAACTAAAGTAATTTTTTTCTGTGAACTCATTCAAATCAAAATAAAACTTTTTTAAATTTTTAAAATCTGCAAATTAAAAAATATTTGCCGAGTTACTAAATTTCAAATTTTATTTCGACATTTCACATCAATTTAACACAAACAATTTCCAATAGAGATAGCGNATATATATATATATATGAGAAACGGTTGGAAAATAGAGCGAGACGTGTATCAACGAGGAATATTTCTCCACGGGAGATTTTCCTCGAACGCTTTTGGCGATTATCCAATTGACTCCGTCGTCAATTCATATTGACGCACGTAGAAACGTAGGAGTCAATTTAAGTCAATCTAATTCCTACCAACGGAACCCTATTGCGCAGGAAGACGACACGCGATCTATCATAGCTCGAGGAAATCCGCGGCCATGGGTTTCGATGACGAAAAATCGTTGAGATTGCTGCCACGAATGGAATGAAATGTTTTGACAGACGACGAGATACTACCCTCTTATTGAATTCCTCCCCTCGAGGGGGTTCTATGGTACAGAAGAGATGAATTTGACATTACACTGTATATTACATTTCTTCTTTTCATGGAAATAAGATTATATTTATATTTAACTTTCGGTTGAATAACCTCGATGATTTCATTTATTTAATAAGAAATTAAATTATAATTCATGGATATTTTTGGATAATTTTTTGTAATTTTTTTTGTACGACTCATGGACGTATAATTAATGGATTTATAACATATATATGTTATTTTATGGTTCTATGGCATTCACAAGTTAGTAATAAAGACACAATGGCAATGATAAATGGTTTCGAGCAAAATTAGTAATTATATTTTCCTATTCTTATTCAATAATCAGTTTTAATAAAATTTAATTATGAATCAAAGATTGAAAGATTTTTGAATACATTTGTAAGTTAATTTTTTCTCACAATTCTTGCAATTTTCATTACTTTATATTATAAATATAATATTAATCATAGTTCATATATAATAGTTCCTAGGATAATAAAAATCCTAGGATAGAGGATATATATAATAGATTCTAACTCTATCCTAATATAGCAAATATATTCTTCGCTGTATTTTATCGAAATAAATATTATAACCTTTCACGAGGTCCATCATCAATTGTGCACCTATACAATTCATTATAACAGCGCTATAAATTTCTTCTTCTCTTTCAAAAAAAACTTTTTGTTATTTCTCCATCGAGTTTCCAACATCAATTACTGTTCTTTAATGATTCTCATAAACCAGAAAGACTGTTCAAAAGTAACTTTTTATTAGCAAAAATGTTCCTCCCTCATTAATTCAGAAAGTATCGAAGAATCAGCAAACTATATCCCTAGACGTTACAATTAATTTCTAAGAGTACATTGTTCATAGTGGACGCGCTAGAGCGACCAAAGTTCGACAAGTTTCCCCAAACTTCAACCCCTTAAGCAGTTTATCGTCGACCATTTACACGGTGAAACGCTTAACCGGTAAATCTGCTCTATCCTGAATATGGTAAACTATCTACATATACAGGGTGTTCCCAAAAATGTTGGAACATTTTGCTTTCGTTACGCCTTTGTTAACGAGTTATTAACAAAAAACACGAATTATTAACTAACCAATCACGTAATCTAATTTACCTATAACGACAGTAGCGTTGGCTACGTGCTGTCAACGAGCACGAACAAGTGCTTGTCCAAGTAACATATCTCAAATATATACATTGAATATAACAAATATTTTTTTATCGATAAAAAATTATATCACGAACAATGAACAAATAAACAAATATAATATTAACAATGAACAAATATACAAATATAAACACACTTTTTTCGAGATATTTTTGCTTGGACTCATGTTCGATCGACGCCACGTAGCCAATGTTATTGTCTCGATTAGGCTACGCGCTTCGTGATTGGCTAGCGTTTTTCTGTTAATAATTCGTTAACAAAACCGCAACGAAAGGAAAATGTTGTTTGAAATTATCTCAGGAATCCACAGTTTACGGATGTTGAAAAATTTTTGAGACACTCTATATACACATATCTATACGTATCTAGGGGACCCTAGATTCTTCGACACTTTTACCAAGTCGTGCGTCACTTTTTTTCCATCGCTTTCCCCGGTTGTACACGGGCCTCCACGCTTCCCTTGAGAAATTTGAACCTGATCGATTTATCGGACGCGGTTCTCACCTCCTTTCCACCCCTCCCCCTCCACCACTCTCTTTCTCAAGTGGCATTAGGCAGGTTTAATGCGATGCCTGCAAAAAGGGAAACAGAGTGTAGAGGTACGGCGAGTAGTAGGTGCCGAGTGCCATTGACTGCGGAATAAAATAGACGGTGGCATTTCCAGCGCGGCTCAGCCTTGGCAAAATTCCATTTCTTTTCCACGAGGTCCGCGCTCTGAGCAAGAACTGATATTTCCTTTTCCTCCTCTCCTTTTCTTTTCTTTTTTTCTTCTCTTCCCCTTTGCGTTTTCCCTCTTGCTTTCTTCGTTTTCTTTTCTTTCCTCTCTTTTGTTTCTCTTTTCTTTTTTTTCTTTTTTTTTTTTTTTTTTTTTTTTTTTTTTTTTTTTTTTTTTTTTTTTTTTGGAATTTTAGTAATGAAATGGTATACTTACGTATCTGATTGGGTTTCTATCTTTTTGCGAAAATTGTTTTTTCTTTTTTTTTTTTCTGGAGAAAATGATTTTAACTTCTTCTATAAAATACAAAGATTTTTCGTTCGATTTTTTTATTTTTCTCCTCTAATGATGCGAAAAGGAAGAAAACGCAAATTAATCATTTCCAATTTGCAAATAAGTGAAATCAGTTTGATAACAAAATTAAACATTTTTCAGAAGATAAAATCAATCAGTTTCTCTTCTGAATATCGAATACTTTTGATCGCCATTGATAAAAATTTTAATAATAAACAAATTTTACTAACAATAAATATATTACATTGGACTCAATAAAAATTTTTCGCGATTAATTTCATTTTTGTAAAAAAAAGAAAAATTAGAAATACTTTCGAACGAATTTTTATCACATTGTCACACAATTTGTCTTAGATATTAATTTCAAGCACGAATTTAATAATCGAGAAAACGCTTATCAATTCGATAGTTCGAAACCGATCGTTTATTCCTGGACACCGAGTAATTATAGTAATTATGGGCAAAGGATCGTGGCTTGCCATATATATAGAACAGATAGGAGGATACGGTAACGTTCTCGATGACAGTAGCCTAGGCTAACATTAGGATGAACCTCTTAGTGTATACCAGACTGCATAGCCTATAACCATTGACACAACCACTTGAATTAATAGCCGGCAATTAAGCGGATGATAATGTTTCCCCTCCAATGCGCACGACCCTACATAAACACATTGTGTAACACACGGTCCAGTGCCGATAAAAAGCCAATCTCGATATTTACTTCGTATATCTTCGTATGGTTTGTTTATGGTTCGTCTTAACCTCGAGAAAATCTCGTTTCGAGGTGTTCGAAAAAAATAAAAATTGATCTAAAAAACGTATAAAAGTAGAGAGAAATATCGTCGATAAATGTTACGATAAAGGGATATTATACAGGATGAATAACACGATATCTCTAATAAATACATATTTTTTATGATATATTATTGTTATTAAATTTAGAATAAATAAAATTTTACATAAATGGAATAATTAAAATTTTTACAAAAATTTTATATCATATCTCTTCTTAAATAAATATTTCTTATAAAAAAAAGAAAAATAATTTTGCCTTAACGTCTAATTAAAAAAAGAACATTTCTATATCCCTATTTAATGCAATTTCAATATATGAAATATTTTCAATATTATAACTTTTTAGAGTTATATGAATCGGCCTATACAAGCATGCATGTAGGAAACGTACGCGGTCCGATATTCTCATTGAATTTATACCGCAGTGTATCAAGTCGTCGCAATTGCCAACTGCAGGAAATCGTAGAGTGCAACGAACGATGCAGAGGAGGCTTTATGGAAATCGATGCGAATATATAATGATTACAAGTGGACCTTGCGTTATTTTAAGTACCTTATGCTCTCTGTTCTGTCAGCTTATCACGAGCTTTATCAACCCAAGACGACGTATTTTCAAAGACGGCGTGTTTTATGATGGTTAAACAGCTCGTTATTTACCGACAGCTTTCTTCGCATCGATGTATTTGTTATCGGTACATTTGATTTTTAATTGGTGTAATTTCATTCGATCAATTCACGCCTCGCGTGGATAAATGGTTGTTTTAACGTTTGTTTGATTATTTATGCAGCTCGGGGAAGGGGATTGTATTAAGTATGAATAAAGTTTGTACGTGTTTATGCCGTGTTTTGAGAGTTAAATACACCGAGAAGTGATAATCAAATCAATGAAATATTTACAATGTTGAATGAAATTTTAGAGAGGCTTGTTGCTGAGAGGTTATATTATGGCGAGAAATTTTGTTGTTGAGTGGATTTAATTTTTATTATATGCTCTTCGAGAATATCGAGGGAAATTTATTTTAATTTATGTTTTTCAATTTTTTTTTTAAATCTCTTTAAATTCTTTTAAATTTTCAAATTCTTTACAATTTAAAAATCACGAATTGATTTATCCAAATCAGAGATAAAAAAAAGTTTTCAAATTTGAATTTTTTTAATTTCAATAAAATAAATAAAATAAAGAAATATATTTGATGTAAGATAAAAAAAAAAAAATCTCGAAAGTTCGAGGGAATGTGGCTATGAGGAACATAAGATTTCAATTATCTCATTGACTTTCAACTCGGAAAAGGAAACTTAACTCGGAAGCGAGTTAATCTGAATGAAACTCAACATTTAAAGTGCGATGTGCTGTTGCGGTGTCCCCAAAAGGAGTATTTAGACATCTCGGAGTGTCTATACGATGTCATAGAATCCGTTCTTAACCTATAAGTCTATGAACGTAAAATAATTTCTACCACATTATTGGAAAATAATTTCTCACTAAAATTGTTAAAATTTCAAATAATATCATATTAATTATAAATTTCTAAATTTTCAAAATTTCAAATTGTTAAATTTTTAAAATTTAGCCTTTAAAACTTATAAAATATAAAATCTTGTATCTATTTTCAGCTATAGAGAAACGTAACCACAAAACAATATTTAAAGAAAAAAGTGAGGTTAGGTAAGA